AATCCTGGCTGGTTGTCACCTATATATGTACACTGAACAGGCTCAGCATTGCTTAACTTCATTGTTCTTTGCACAAGAACTGGTGTTTCAACATTATATGGCTGGAAGCCACAGTAGGGTGGAGGAGTAATATTTTGGACTAGTATTGTAAGTAGTACAGCTATAGGTCACTTTGAAATTGAAAATGCTATTAAGGTAAATGCAAAGAATTATTTTTAATTCCTGGACAAGATGTTTTGTTTTTAGTGGTAAATTTAGTAGTGTTTAAATATGATAAGCCTTATAGCTCTATGACAATAATGAAAACTACAAATTTTTTTATAAGTCATTTTTGTACAATATGCAAGGAGAGAATATAATACATAAATTTTATATATTAAGACTAATAGTGGGTAATTGAATGACAGAATAGGAAAAACTCATGTTTTACATTTTGTTTTTTCAAAATTACATCTTAAGATGAGAGGTAGTTTTAATTAAAAGAAAGTAATTTAAGGCAAAAATTTATTAAAAGTACTAATTTCTGAGTCTTCCATAAATTTACATCCAGGATCATACAGAATATCGCAAAACTATGGCTATTAGATTATGGGGTATTGAATAACAATGATAAAAAAAAGTTTGTTCATCTAGACATCAGAAACTCAAAAATTTAAAAGTTAAGCAGACACATCTTCAATTTTTCTCTCAATGAAGTATTATAACTAACATTTGTTGAATCTTGTTCCCTATATATACATATATGATTCAATTAGTAAAGACATTATTTCATGTGAAGAAACACTTTTTAATGACAAAATGTATCACATAGGAATTTTTTTCCACTTGTTATTTAATTACCCACCATATGATTTGTTGCAAAGAGAGCAACAGCATATTATAATTATATTAAAAAAAATGATCTGAACTTATGTTGTGAAAGAAAAATTTTTATTGAAAATGATTAAATCAGTTTCAAATTATTTATTACTAGCAGTAGAGCCCGGCATTGCCCGGGGATGTAACAGTAACAGATAGATCAAGTATTGACCATCATAAAGACTGAAAAATAAAATTGACAAAGATTATTGTTTAAGGTTGACGGACACGCATGTCTTAATTAGTTTTTTTTTTGTTTGTTTTTTACGAATTGGTCAAACTCAAACAAAAACATTATTTTCAATAGTTATGAGTCTACCAATTGAATAGAATTTTATTATAAACAATTGTCTTGTAAATGGAATTTTTAAAGCATTCTGAATGTAAAAATAAAGAAAAAAATGTACAAGACAATAAGAAACACTACATGCCAAAAAAAGTGAAGTTTTGTTGAAATCAGTTGAAAAATGTAGGAAATCCAATCCCATATATAAATGAACACACACACACACAAACAACCTGCGTTTTATAATAAGTATAACTCGATATCAGTTGTCCCCCTTCCATTCTCGTGATGCCTCTTAATCATGTTTACAAATTGATTTCATGCAAAAACAATTGTGTTTTTCCAATTTTTGGTGCTGTCAGAACCACCGCAAGGTAATTTTACGTAGTCCTGTGAAGTTTTGTTGAAATTGGTTGAAAAATGTAGGAAATCCGATCCAATATATAAACGTACAGACACACACACACACCACCTGGGTTTTATAATAAATATGATGCACTTTTCAAATGCTATTAATAATAGTGATTTCATAATAGAGAAATATGAATTTTAATAAAATTCCCATTGCATAATATATACAACAAACCCCATAAAGGACAACTAAATAGAGAATTGAGTTATCTTGTCTCTTGAACCACCTGAAGATTGTGTTTAAGCATGAAACAAACTGTTACCACTTGGTGTTTGATCTTCTTGTTACCTTTACTTTTACATACACTCTCTGATATCTGTCTGAATTTCTAAAATGAAAAGTAATTATTATTTACGCTATTTATATTTGAACTGTTGTCCACATCTTTGTTGTTATCACAATTTGGCAGTTGTGGCATTTGGCCTTCAAGTAGTAAATAAAAATAAGAACTAGACAAGATATTTCTAGACATGGGCACTGGAATGAGAACAGTCTATCCCTGTAGATTAAATAAGGGGTTCTATTCAGAATTCCCTGTATGTTACCCAGATCTACCTCTGATATTAAGTACTTTTACCCATAACTATAGCAGACCTTAAAACTATATGAGATAGATATAGATAGATAGATAGATAGATAGAGATGATAGATGAGATAGATAGATAGATAGATAGATAGATAGATATAGATAGATAGATATAGATAAGATAGATAGAGATAAATATAGAGATAAATATAGATAAATATAGAGAAAAGATAGAGATAAATATAGAGATAGAGATAAATATAGAGATAGAGATAAATATAGAGATAGAGATAGAGATAAATATAGAGATAGATAAATAGATAGATAGATATAGAGAGAGAGAGAGATAGATAGATATAGAGAGAGAGATAAATAGATAGATAGATAAATGAGATAGAGATAAAGATAGATAGATAGATTATATAGAGATATAGATAGATAGATAGATATAGAGAGAGATAGATAGATAGATAGATATAGAGATAGATAGATAGATATAGAGAGAGATAGATAGATAGATATAGAGAGAGATAGATAGATAGATATAGAGAGAGAGATAGATAGATATAGAGAGAGAGATAGATAGATATAGAGAGAGATAGATAGATAGATATAGAGAGATAGATGAATATAGAGAGATAGATAGATAGATATATAGAGAGATAGATAGAATTAGAGAGAGATAGATAGATAGAGAGAATAGATAATAGATAGATAGATATAGAGAGATAGATAGATATAGAGAGAGATAGATATAGAGAGAGATAGATATAGAGAGAGATAGATATAGAGAGAGATAGATATAGAGAGAGATAGATATAGAGAGAGATAGATATAGAGAGAGATAGATATAGAGAGAGAGAGATATAGAGGGAGAGAGATATAGAGGGAGAGAGATATAGAGGGAGAGAGATATAAGATTTTTTTTATTTTTTGATATTCCATACTTAGACTAGATGTAAATAATTGCACAGGCCTTAACCACATAAATATCCTAGTAAGCAGAAGTCGTCACTACACACACTAAGTACACTCCTGTAATCTTACCTTATTGACCGCCTGATCAATGACACTCTGATTATAAAAATGTGCAATCCATTTCATCCTTTGTTGAATTTCCTTTTTTTCATAATAGGCATCATCTGAATATGGTCGTGACCCACGAAGGGCACGACCCCTAAGTCGCCGCCCAGTGGCGACCCGCACCCGGGTGGTTCCACAGATGAACATTCTGTAAAAGCAATAAAGATAAAATAAAAATATAAACCAGGTTAACAGTGGATGTTCTTAAAAATGACAGAATGTTTACTAGAGTCTCTTAGTTTGTAATGAAAAACTACAAAAGGTTTTGCAAGATTATTGCCACCTTATCCGACAGGAGAATACTCTCCCTTAATCTCTCTTCCCCACTCCCAGGATGCATATAAGAAAACATGGTTTGCTGTACCACTACAGAGATTTCTTACACCACAAGAAAACCAACCTTTTAGTCAAACAAACCACTTGTGCATCACACACAAGTAATTATATGATTTTTTTTTTATTTCCTTTTGTAACATTAGAGATGAGCGAAAAAATTAATTTTAGGAAATAGGGCAAGTAGTTGGTTAAACATTGTTGGAGACAGGTTATTTTTCTTAAATATGATATATAAATATCTGATACCCTATGTTTCAGAAGATTAACCAACATATATATATATATATATATAAATAAACCAAATAATTAGATATTAACAGGTGTATGTATGTGCATACACAGGTAAGCAAATATTTACTCAATATAAGGTGTAAACAAAAGTGCTCAATGTGGTTAGACAGAGCTAAGAAGTAATACCAGAGCACCCAATGGAAGAAAACATGTTTTCCAACACACGTACATATGCATACATATCTTCATACATATATATGTACATTTACATGTCCATATAAAAAAATTGGGGGGAATTGAAGGAAAAGGGTTTGAATCCTCAAATAAATTGGAAAATTCTAGGTTTCACAAATACCCTCAATAGTTTTAGGGATATGTGTAAGCTATGTTTAGAAGAAAAAAATCAGGATAATAAAATATAAAGATCAATGCAAACTATTAAAACAGAGAGAACTAATCACAAAATGTAGACATAGAAACAGATTCAAAATTACATAAAAATACATGTGTATATATGTGGGTGTGTATATGTGCATATAGTGGCATATATGTATGGATATGTAAATGTACATATATGTATGTATGAAGATATGTACGCATATAAGTGTATTGGACAGCATAATTTATTCCATTGGGTGCTCTGGTATTACCCACAATCTATAAATCTATAACTCAACTAATTTACATTAATCTTAACAGGTTTAAGTTTAAATCCTCCATCACTTAATAATATTAGACACCTGTGGATCCCAGAAAAACACACTCGGGGCTTTTATAAGAAATGCCACAGAGTAGAAATTGATATTAAAATACAAACAATAAGTACTGGCCCTAAATAAACTCCAATTTCAGACTGCTTCCACCAGGATAAGATATCTTATGCCCCCACCAATAGCTGACAAATCCATTCTCATTAACATTTCAATATTTTACTACTACTAGTTTTACTATTAACTACTGAAGCTTCACACACTGTATATGGACAAGAATCAAGGAATAACCACATTTTACTTATTATAAAATACAGATTGTGTGTGTGTATCTGTTCGTTTATATATGGGATCGTATTTCCTACATTTTTCAACCGATTTCAACAACTTCACAGGATTACATAAAATTACCCGGCGGTGGTTCTGACAGCACCAAAAATTGGAAAAACACAATTGTTTTTGCACAAAATCAATTTGAAAGCATGGGTAATGGTATCACACCAAGGCGGAAGTTACTCAAACGTCCAAATGCCATTAACTTCCTCAGCATTTTTTTTCAGAGAACGATACACAAAAAGTAAAACAAATGAAACATAAACATACACAAGTCCTCCTAACTAAAAATAATAACTGGAAACTACTTTAAATACACATGGTGTCCAAATGAAACCTATGTGTACAGTCAAAATGCGGAAGTTAATTTTTAGTCATCAACCAAAAGATATTGCCAACCGGCTACGATGCTAGTGCAGCTGACATAAATATAGCCAATTTCTTGGCTCCGGGGTAGAGCGACGTGCTCCCCGTCTAACCTTCAACTGGCCAGCCCTCGTGGAAAATAAACCTCCACATCTCAAGTGTTAATAAAAGCAAAGCATGTCAGATTTATAAAGATTTCCTATTTGTCCCTTATCCTATCATTCTCTTGCATTCCTATCTATATTTGATCTTAATTCATATATATATATATATATATATATATATAAAAACAGATGCAAACTATGCCTGGAAGAAAAAATTAAAATAATTACGTACAAAAATACAAGCCAGTTATTGAACCAGAGAAATGAAATTATACTTAAATGTCATCATAAAAATAAGTTTATATAATCTTAAAAATAGACATTTATTTTGCATCAAACATTGAAAAATACATATTAGGTTCGTAACTATGTAAGTTTATATATATGTATGTATATATGTATGTGCGTATCTATATTACTTTTATTACTATTATTATTACTTTAAATATATTATATATATTTTTTTTATTACTATTAAATGATGATGCTTAAATGAATAACAACATAGATTGCATTTCTGTGATTTTTATTACTGGTTGCGCAGTTAAAGTTTTATCCATAAAATTTTCCCCTACCTTCACTTACTGCAATATTCTCAAAAAAATCTAAAGTAAGATCTGGAATGTAATCAGTACTGAATTAGCTTCTTGACTTCAGCCGCTTTCCCACAGACGTGATGTGGCTTCCCTCTGTCTTTTCTACAAATACTTTCATGGCTACTGCACTGATGAGCATTTTTTCCCTGGTGCCCTGACTACATGAATTTAAGTGTACTACTAGATTGGCATCTAGGTCCCAACTTTTTACTGTTGAAATAGTTAAATGTAACCGCCCTTCTAACAGTTTCTTTCCTCGCACTTCTCCATATTGGAACTCCATTTCTCTCACTTGCTTCCCTGATAACTACAATCATCAAAAACCTAAATGCAACATCAGTCACCATGTTTTGTTGCGTTGATACCTGTTCTTTTTTCCTTTCTTCAATCCCCCCCTACAGCCCACTCTTTTCTCTTATTTTCACTCTCCATAACCCCCTGTGTGATAATGGCACTTCTGACTTGCTTGGGGTGAAATGCTTAAAAAAAAAAAAAAAAAAAAAAAAAAAAAACCAAAACATTGAATATAAAATAATTAGGGTACTGAAAATAGCATCTACCACAATCAAAGAAAAAAAGCTCTCCTACCAACAGCTAAAATAAAAAAGTGCTCAATACAATATATATATATATATATATATATATATATATATATATATATATATATATATATAAAAGGCAGGATGTGTGTGTGTGTGTGTGTGTGTAATGAATGCACTAACCGCAATTTTCGACAGATTTGCACCAAAATTTACATGCACAAAGTTAGCAGGAAGGCCAAGACTGACTTTGTATTTCCCAACTCCCATCAATAGTGAAAATAATCGATTTTTTCATGCTTCTACAGCAGTTTTCATGTAGTTTGCAGCCATTTTCTACTGGCCAGAGTGAGAGCCTATATAGCTGGCTGCCACGAATAGGCAGGAAGATTCTATTGGCCAGCATAAGAGCCAACAGCTGACTGACACGAATGTTAGCTAGCATGCTAGCATGCAAAAAAAATCAATAGCTGCATTCATCACAAGTGGGAAAAATTTAAATCTGCATGGCACTTTACTTCAATTGGCTCATTCGCTTGCTTAAACTCAATGTTGATTATGATTCCGCAGAACTGGGTTGGGTGTGAAAAAGTATTTGTTGTTAACATTCTTTTTTTCATTCGGTTTTTCCAGATTCTGAGTCCTTTTTTAAAGCTGATCGTTTTGTGTTCATTTTGTTTAGTTCTTTTTTCAGTAACAGATTTAATGTTTAGTATAGAGCTTAGAAAAAAATTTGCAGTGTGAGATAGGCAATAAGTAAGGCATGTAGCAACATCAGCACAGCAAAGGGCACTCCCTTAAAGGTAAGGTAGGGCAAAAATATTTTAAGTTAAATGATAGCAATTGCTGTATGAGTTGTATGATTTTTGAATCAAGCACAGGCAACGCCGGGCCATGCTGCTAGTTATTACTAAAGTAAAATCTCAAGATACCATGATTTTAAAACTATTAAAAGATATCTGGGATTCAAGCCCAAATGCAGCACAATTTGCTTAGGTTAAAGAATTAGGTTAAATCAATAAAGCAAAAACCACCTTATGGATAAGTTTGACGGAAATAAACAAATATCTAAGTTTAATGATAATAGTCAATACTTTCAGTGATAAGCCAGTATTTCACTCAATAATAATTTCAGCACAAGAACAACAATACATGATCTAATATGTATTAGAAATATTCAACTTATGTCACAGGTTTCTCCAACAAGTTCACCAAAGTTTCTGCCCAGAATTATTTCAGCATACTATAACTTTATGCAATGGAGGAAATCTGTGAAAATTAATTAAAGAATTTATAGAGGTCAACCTTATATTCAACATAAAAAGACTTTTTAACAGATATACCTAATTAAATATAACTTTTTAAAAGCAAGCAACAAAACGGACAGACATGATAAACATTGCCATTAGTTCTATTTTTATAACTGAATGTCTTTCCAACACACCAGCAGACTTTCAAACATCCAAAAAATGTGACATGAATTCACAGTAGTTAATGACATTATTTAGTTGGTCAGAGTTCTGGTACAAGGACTTCTCATGACTTGATTTTCCTGCTATCACAAACATTGTAGGTGAAGTCATGCCTGTCACCTATAAGGTCTAGAAGTTCCATATCACAACATTTTCAGACACTTCATTTCAACATTTCTTTTCCAATCCAAAAATTAATGAAAACAACCTTTCCACTATGAACCTTCTTCCACAAGATGGCACAATCATCTGCATGTAACTCTCAGTCATGTCTACTGAGGTTTGAAATTTTCAGTGTTCTTTCAGGCCATCCTTATAAGAATTCTTTTGGCTTATACACTGGTTGCTTTCTCTTAGAAAGCTCTCCTTACAAAAGCTGTCTTTGCATCTTGTTCTTGCTCATGAAAGGAACCTTTCCACCATGAACCTTCTTCCATCTTTTTCGGCTTATGGATTTTTTT